GTTTATAGTCCAACACTGGAAGATATCCGCTGTTGGGGCGAATCATTTGACAAACTTATGAAATGTTCGGGTAAGTCATCGATTGATTATAAATATAAAAGTGGATTATATAAATATAATATATTATAATTCGGGTTTGGAATCAATAAAATTTAATTTGTTTTAATAATTTAATAATATTATTGTTTAGTTTCTAATTTTTTTTCTATATACGTTTATAAGGTGGTATGACAGGAATTTAAAAATTCCAGCAAATATTTCTAGTTTTTGCTCATTTTGTTCACAAATTAGTGAGTCTTCCGAGAAAATATCAATTCTATTCTTCAAATACGTTTAGCATTGATTGTCTGACATTTGATTTGATTTAATTAAATTATCACTCTCTAACATATCAGATAAGAATTTTCTGCTAATTTTAAGCTCTTTAACACTTTTCTTACGTTTCGATTTGTTATTAGATTATTGAATGCATCGTTGATAGACTTACTTTTGACCTAATCTAGACTTAATAATTTTCTTTAAACTTAAAAAATTATATGCTTTCACATTCAATCCATCGATCTCATTCATATTACAGTATTATTGATTGACCTTTTGTTTCAATTTAATTTCATATAAACTGTAGGCATTTATGAAAGTCAAATTATTTTAAGTTTAAATTTTTTTTCAATTATTATTAATTGATTTTAAGTACAGTACAATATAGTGATGATAAATGAATTTATTATATTTATGCTTAATTTTCTGGTAATAATATTTAAAGATATAATAAATTATGGAAATTTATTATTAAATTTTATTTAAATTTTATTGTTAAAAGATGTTTTACTTAAATGAATGTATTTCTTAATGGATGTATTGGTTGCCTAATAGCGGGTCGCAAAGTATTTCGCGATTTCCTGAAATGCGAGTACAGCGAAGAGAATATCCTGTTTTGGTTGGCCTGTGAGGACCTCAAGAAGGAGTCTAATCCCGATGTCATCGAAGAAAAGGCACGCCTTATATATGAAGACTACATCTCTATATTATCGCCAAAAGAGGTATATATATATGATTAGTGACAATATATAAATGAGATGTGTGAACGTGATGTTTGTTGTTCAGGTGAGTCTGGACTCACGGGTTCGGGAGATAATCAACCGAAATATGGTGGAGCCGAGTCCGCACACCTTCGATGAGGCACAGCTCCAGATCTATACACTCATGCATAGGGACTCATATCCCCGGTTCATAAACTCTCAAACGTATCGAAAATTAGCACAAATTCCTTCTCCGACCCGAAAGGGAAGTGCGGCCTAACATTGATTGCATCGGATTTGGATTTCAATACAATTTGCGGATCAAACAAATCAATAATTAAATTCAATTCAATTAATTGGACATTAGTTTTGTGCAAATAATACAACTCTTAACTGGAATGACTGACACACATACTGACCAGCATTTCGTGGAGTTTTATTGTATAGTTAGAGTCTTTTTAGAGTTATTTATTCACTTATACTGAACGGATCGCAACCGAAGCATCACTTCTGTAAACAAATTACAAATTGTCTCAAAACCGATGCTTCAGCTTATGATCTGTGTTATGGAAAAAGCAATTAAATAATTAAATAAAACCCAATAACGGCTCAACACCTCATTGATGGCAACAACACAACAATTGTGTGATGAAGTGATCAAACACTACAACACCTCAACACCTCTGACCACATACTGACCATTGCTTTCAATTCTCATGATTTCATGTTTTGTTTCAAACACGACCAAACATTTTAGATTATGTTTATTATTCATTATATATTGTTATTATTGTTTTAAGTTTATTTTTGTTACTCTGTTTTAACTTGATTATTATTCAATTTTGTTCACTTTGTTCATTTGATCGTTTTGTTTGATATTTATTTATAAGAATATAATTTATTTTATAAACCATTTATTTATAAGAATTAATACAAAGAATGATGAGAAGACTCAATACAATTGACTCAAATCAAGACAAAACCTGCCCTTTAGTCCAATTGTTATAATTTCTAATTTCATGACAACTATGGGTTGAACGGTTCAATGACTTCATAATTCATGACAATATTCTTCATAATCAGCTCTCATTGACTGCATTTGTGGCCATACTTTCCATCAGACAATTGGGAACAATTGGAAGTCATTCTATATATCATATAACGAATCAGTTTTAATAAAATATTTATTAAACGCAAAACAAGACATACTTTCAAACTGAACAACAATTAATACAATTAATAATTCTGTGATTTGTGTAATAAATGAATGAAACATTGAAACAATGTTGAGATATGACTGAAATCGCTTTATTTTGAAGCAAAAACATTACAATAATTATATAAAGAAATAATTTATAGCTTATATTGTAATTCCCTTTGTTTTTATTAATTGTTGCATAACTTATATATCGTTGTTATCATAGATTGCAAGAAAACATGACATTCTCTTGCATTTGATCCGACATTTATTACTTCATTACAACACTTGTCGTACTTTTTATCGATTTTAAATGCATTCAGTCATCAAATTTTGTTAATAATAATAATAATTCATAACAATTGTATCAAATATTTTAACTTAAGCTCAAACTCATGACATCACTATCAAAATGAATACATTTCTGTATTATAATAACAAATAACAAAAAATACAAATTAATGTTTGCATTGTTCGCAATATATTATATGAATTATAAGTTATATCGATATAAAAGTGCACTTTTTATATAACACTCATTACTTTCATTTCGTCATTATTCCTATTATTCCTATTATTCCTATTATTCCTTATATTCCTTATATTCCTTATATTCCTTATATTCCTTATATTCCTTATATTCCTTATATTCCTTATATTCCTTATATTCCTTCCAATCATTAACTCTTTAAACCACTAAAATAGTTGACAAATCACTGTATTATACAATCTATAGAACCAATGTCTATGCAGTACTGTACCCCTGGGTCTATGAGACTTTCATATATCTGTTACTCTACTTTCCTTCCAAACCATTCTGTATTTCATATATTCATCACAAAAGTATTGGTATTTTCAATTCAATAGTTATAAACTATTAAAACGCATCATCCAAGGTTTGTATGACATATTGTAATTGATGTCAATATGACCAGGACAACTTCAAGTTACAATTTGCAACTATTTTAAACTTATCATTCAATTCGATGCCAATACTTGAGATGTCGCTCTCAACACAAGCACTCATTTTACAGAATTTTAATATCATTTTAAACTCCAATATATAGATATTATTCTATAGTATTGACTCATTAATGTTCAATAATATGAGCATTAATTGCTAAATGATAATGTTCTCGTATGTAATGCCGTCAAAAACTTAGATATTTATTAAATATGCAAACAGAATGGAATAGATTTATGAATTGCTAATTATAAATTATAATTTATAATACAATTATGAAGGTATCAGTAGCAATGAAAGTGATCGAAAATATCAATATGAAGCTTTATATGAAGTTGTAGTCAATGTTTAAAGATAGAAAATATTAAGCCATTGGTCTAGTCGTAATATGTCAATTACTATTCAATTAATTTTTTTGGCAAATTGACAAAGTATCATATTAAAGGATCTTGTTAGTAAATAACATAAGTTAAAATTGTTTTGTAAGGTAATACAGTATATAACATAAACCAAACTTAAATTTTACTTTTTATAAAAAATTTACAACTGACAACAACACATTAAAAACTGTAAGATACTTTATAACTTATAAATTATAAGAATTGTACAAATTGTACATCATGTCAATGATTCCATAACAAAACCCATCCAGGCCTTACTGCTTCACCTATGACTCATAAACATTGCCTAATAGGCCCTAAAATAAGACACCCTTACATTGTATAAAACATTTCATTATATCCCCTTATAGAAATACTATGAGTTTAAGAAAATGATTATGCTTGAAAATGGTGTAGGACTCTATAATGACCAAACTATACAGTGTGGTCACATTATAACTACAGTAACTCTTTACATATGAAATACTGTGCAAAATAATAATGCTGACTATTCTTACCATAACATTGAAGTTGTCAAATTGAGTGAACATTTCCATTATATTTGACTTACAATAAGTTTGCTTATTTTAAGAGTACATTATAGAGTCAATAGTTGTTCAATCAAAAGTTAAATTAAACAAATATTTGATACAATATTCAGACAATATTCTTTTGAATAACTGCTTCAACAAAATTTAAATATACGGATTTATATTTGAAATAATTTAAACAGTTTTTACATAAGTTATTTATTAATTGAGCATTACCACAGAAATACATAATATGAAAATACATATAAATTACAGGTTAACAAAACCATATGAATGAAGTGATTCACTGATTGGGAGACACTGTTTGGGTTAACTTTTCCAGAATTTGTGACTTTTAAAACCTGAAATTAAAACACAGTAATTGTAAATGATTTAAAAAGAGTGAAAATTGCACTAAAAGTGGTATTGAATTGTTGTAAAATATTTAGACAATAAGCCACTGTTTGCGAACAATTTATCGATATATACCTGTTTGGCGAGTCTCTACGGCTTCTCAATGAAAGTAAAGGCGAAAACTTGTTTGACAGCCGAAACACATATTCAAAAGTCATTTTAATGTGTGCCTCAGTTAAAACAGTTTCACTTTAAGTGACAATAAAGTAATATCTGTTCAATTTGTTATGAACATAATTATACATAATATTAATATATCAATAATTAAAACTTGTGATATAATTGATGTGGATGAAAAGTTTTATGTATCAATCATTACATGATTTGAAATGAACGCCAATTCACTTGATGTACAGTAAGTCTTGTGTAAATCATGTGATTGTATTTAAAGTGAACCAAATCAACAAAATCTCCTCTAATTCCAAGTATAAGACATTTAATGAGCTAATCATCAAACATCTTACGGGATGGAAGTACTGGCAACAGCTTTTAGTGCATTAATAATAAGATAATACATTATCTTAAACTTCTTGAATGACTTCAATGTGAAGGCAATGAACTTTCCGAAGAAAATGCATATTTTGCTCAATCGATGACTCAAATGATTGCATTTATTTGAAGTTATACTTTTAAT